TATACATGTATAAATCAGCTGTCGATTAAGCCTAATAAAGAATATTTTTTATTTTTTGATATGCATAAATATTAAATTATTTATACTACCTAACTACTTTATTATTTTATTTATTATTTATTGGAGGAAAATGGCTACGGTCTTATATTTCTAGGTATTATAGTAATTTATTTTTCAATTCATAAATTGATAATAGGTAGGTAGAACTAATTGATGCTAATAACAAATCAAATTTATTTTATATACAGGTAATAATAATATTAGAATATATTATTTCATACCACATTTTATTACTTGCTGTTGTTGACGTATAAGTCAATACCGACGTAGGTAGGTACCGTAGAACTGCTGTGTGCCTGTGTGAATAGGTTCATGATACATAGGTAAATAGGTAGCTTAAAATAAATTTAAGAACTTAAGTACTTTGAATATTAATGAATATTGAGGATATTAAATAATAATATACCTACGTATATCGAAGCTTTTAAAATCATTATTCATCCTATGAGTGTTATAGGTACCTACCTAATATCTTTTGAATTATTATATAAAATAACTAAACTCTTTATTTTAATTTTAATTATATCTATCCAATTGTATAACATCTTTTCCTTAAATATAATTTGAAAAAACCTTTCGTTAAATATAAATGCCTAAAATTATAATAACCACTGCAGGTATCGCGTCCATCACAAAATAAATAACAATAATAAACATTTAGGTACCTACGACCTCCACTTCAAAGGTCACAATACAATTTTAGGTAAACCTTATTGTATAATATACTTTAAATCGTATAACGTTAGTTGTTAAGTCCCTATACAAATTATTTTGGGGATATGAAGCATAAAACTTATCAGTTATCGCGGAAATAGCCAATAACAGGGAATCCTAAATTAGACCAATTTGTCCATAATTGCTTGGATAATAAACGAATAAATATATGAAGAGGATGCCAGCGCAATATTTGTTTTCCCCCTATATCTGCAGTTCCACGTGCAACATATACAAAACCAAGGGGTAAATCCACACTACCTATACGTAGGTACCAAATTTCGGATAAATGCATTCTCGTTAAATCGTTTTTTCTTAAGATTTTTGAGGAATCATTGAATAAAATCACCTAATATGTAAAACATAAAGGCTATTTTTATTTGACTTTAAAAAAAAAAAAAAAATCGTTAATTTAAATGGTTATTAAATTGTATTGAAGACGATATTTTAGACAAGTTGATGTGTCGTAAATACCCTCATATACAGGGTGATTCTTTTATCAAAAAACACTCATCATTTGAAAAGTATTGAAAGTGTTGTTTGATAAAAGAATCACCCTGTATATTATTATTTTCTATCATTTTTTGTCGGACCGATTTTGCTACTCTATAATGTCCGTATGCATAGTCAAATTTTGACTTGTGTGTCACATAAATTGACTATGCGTACGGTAATAATTATTAATCTTAAGATTACTGAAAATTATATGAAAATGATTTCACTTGAACCAATTCGTTTTGTTAAGGATTCCAGATTTATTTTTTAAAAATACGGGACATTTGAAATTTGAATATTTTAGTTTTTCTTCTATATAAATGTCAATAAAATTGTATTTGTTAGGTAAAAAAGATTGAAAATACCTATACCTAATACAATAAGGCTCCTCATACATCGTTACAATATTAGTTTAAAGATATTACAAATGCAAAGGCCAGATTTTTTTTAAGCATTTTAAGTTCAAATTTGACAAAATGTATCAAATTGAAAATTCGCAAATTGTTTTGTAGTTAAAATGTGTAAAATGTTCAATTTGTATAGCTTAAAGTTTATAATTTAAAATAAGGTTCCACGTATTTAAGTATTAAGTAGTTCATACTGTAACCAAAAAAATTAAAAACCAGTGTTCTTTTATAGACATCTTTTAAGTTCAAATAATGAAGGTTAGGTAACAATTTTTTTTTGTAATTTAAAAATATTATTCCTGGGTACTTAAGACTCTTAAAATATATTATTGTTTACACATAAATGACATTTTCAAATGCAATTTTTTTTTCTGAAAAGATTAATTTAACCATTATAACCTACTGTATTACTACCTGTCTAATTAATGGCTTACAGTAAAATAAATTACTTTAATCACAATAATATTATAAAATATACTTAGTAATATTTAATATTATAAGTTGATACCTAGACCGTCTTCACTCAGAATCGTTTTTTCGTAAACAATGATTTTATATCATTGAATTCAAATTTAACACACGTTGATTAACAATATTACATCGATTTCTCTAGACGCATCATTGAATTAACCACTTGCATGGTTTTTTTTTGTTTTCCCGTTTATTTTAAAAAGATCTGAGAATTGTTCAGTTTTTATCTTTTAAATACTAAAAAGATCAATCTAGATTCAATTTTCTTTCAGAATAAGACGTCATCCTCAAAGTTTAAATTCGTACCTATGAAGAGTAAAATCTGAAAAACACATAGTAACAATGCATTCATCACTCCACTCAGAATCTAAAAGTTCTGGTGGCCGAGGGATCTATCCCCATCATCACTTCGCCACAATAACTACGCCACTGTACGTATTAATATATTATGCTTAACATTATATTATCATAGTAGCATGTAGGCATTGTATGTACATTGTACATTATTATTTATCAAATGTTATTATTACTGGCTAGTAGGTACCTACTTTGGTACTTGCCTATACTACATAGTTGAAATAGAGAGATATTATTACAATAGAAATATCATTAAATTGTAAAATAGGTAGGTACTTAGGTACTTATGACTTACACATACTTTGTGGTGGCCATCTTGTAAAAATATAGAACTCCAGTGTTCAGCTATGGCCTATGAAATATTTATAGGCCAAACAGATAAGTAGGTACTGAATAATAAGTTGATTGTTGATACTATCTATTAATTTATTCTGTAATATCTAGCATTAATGACTAATCTATTATATATATTATGACAAAATATGTTTCCCTAATGCCGTCTGAAACAATATCTGAATAAAATTGGCATCAATTACTCTATAACCATCTTCACATAATTTACATCGATTTTTAATATTTTTAATTGAAATTAAATATTTGTTTCATTCATAGAAGCTTAAAATAAAAAGTGCATATATTTTTACTTTGTAATTTTTAGACGAAAAAGAGAATGGCAAAATTAGTACAAAAAAAAACAAAGATTTCACGTAGTGAAGAAGTTATCACGAGAAAAAATGAATCAAAAAATAAAGAACCACTCGAATACATTGCTGCAGAAGTAGTTAAGATGGATTGTCCATCAAGCCAAAGCAAAAAGGTTCATTCAAAGAAACCCCAGTCTGAAAAAAAAGAAAAACACGAAGACGTTACTGAGGTACTAGGAACAATTCGCAAATCAAATCGCAAACGAAAGGTCAATCAATCCGATTGTTATATATATTATTAAAATGTTATTTACCTAATCGTATAGTTTATCACACAAACTAAATTTATTTTTTGTAGTTACCAACCTTCATTCTTCATATTTATTATTTACCAACCTACAATTTTAATGGATCTCCGTATTTAATATACATATATTATAATACCTATTTATAATAATTAATATTTAATTTTTTATAATTTATTATTTTTATTTATATTTTCCAAAGTGAATGTATTTCTTTTCCTTTTATTCAATCTATATTTTATAGCATTATTATTAATCATCTGGAAAATGCACCTAAATATACAATTGTTTGCATAACATTCATAACAGGATTGTTTTATTTTTACACTTTTTTATTTACATATTTTGTCCATATTCATCATCCTTTTTTCTTTGGATAACCAGTAATTATTTAGTATTTTTGATTACTGCATAGCTATACCTATATAATATATTACAAAACCATCCTAAGTTTGACACAGATAAACACTTTTTTATAATTTAATATTAGTTTAATATACAACAAATTATCATTACTCATATACAACATTTAAAGCATATTTACAAACACTAGATACAATATTAATTCAATACATAATAAAATACATTAAAATTCAGTACAATGTAGCACAATCTTCAACCAACAAAGGCTTTCGAGAGAATGCAAAATAATATTTAACACTTAGTATCCGTGACATATTGAATACTGTATATTCAATATTTATTAATGTAGTAGATGCAAGCTAATTTGTATTATTTTATTTACATCATAGAATTTAAAAGGTAGGTAGGTACTGTTATATTGTTTGTCTATACATATTATATGAAAAAAAAATGCATAGATTTTGTTTAAGTATAAATTATATTGTCAACATTTATATTAATAGGTACATTTCTATTAATTTTCTTTTATGTTATATTGTATGTAATTTATAACCATAACATGAGATTTTTAAGTTGCTTCTAAACTTGGTACAATAGTTTTTCATTCTAGTTTAAAACACAAATTGTTTACTAATAATAATGAAATGTGTCATTACTGACCAGTATTTTAAATGTTTGATAATAATTAAGGTATCATTTAATATTCACAGAACAGGAATGTAAAATTTTAAAGAATAAATAACACAAATAAATAATAGTAGTAATTCAGTCACCTCAAAAAAAAAAAAAAAATTAAATTAACCGTCTTACAGCATAGAAATATTTTATAATTCACTGCAATAGAAATAATAACGATTTTTCAACAAATAAAATATAATTTATAAATAATAATAATCACTATAAATCACCAACATAGCCAGAATAATAAAGTATTCCGAGTAATTACTACATTTTATTTCTCCTGAACTTTAACATTTAATTTACCGACTTGAATTTTAAATCATTAGTCTATCAAAATAATAATTAAACACATAATTGCATCAGTGTTGTAAGCATATACAGAGAACAAAAATATAATTAATATATATTTATTTTAACAAGTACTGTACAGTCTTCCAAGGTTTTTTAATAATTATTATTTTGTGTAAAAAAATTAATGAAAAATAATATATATTGTTGTGTTTTTACACATTTTGTGGCTGCCTATTTGGTCTTCGCAAATATATTATATAGGAAAGTAATGCAAATAGTACGGCTATCAAATATAAATCCCAATTGAAACCCATTGGCTCAGCAACATCATTTGAAAGAAAATTAATAAAATTTAGAAATTCCTGCAACATAAAATACATTAAAAATTACTAATTAATAACAACAATATAACTATATTAACATAATATTAGTTATGTTAAATTCTTACAGTGTAATAATCGTTTACCATGTGAAATAGATTAAGTTTAGTTAAGGCTAAAAATACAGGCACTTTTGCATCTAGACTAGTTTCTGCAGCCATATCGTAACATCGTTTAGCCAAATGGATGTCCTACAAGAAAATTAAGCAATTAACAATAAAACGTTTACATTTCACAATAAATAACATGGTTTTACTTGTTCCATTCCTAAGCCCATTTCGTGCATATAACCCAAATTGAACATTGCCTGGGCATTGTGGTGTTGCTCAGATGCCTGTCGATAATGATTAGCAGCTAACTCAAAATCTATTTTAGTCCCGAGACCATAATAATGATAATCTCCCAGTTTCAACTGTGCCGCTGCATACCCTTGAGCAGCTGATCTACTCCAATACATCATTGCACGGACATAGCGTTCTTTTTCAGTTTCCCAGATGTTAACATCTCCTAAATGTCAAAAAGTAGTATAGATCTAATACAATTATCTTTTTATTTGTAATATAATATATTAAATGTACATTGTACATATATATATATAATGAAAATATGATACGCAATAAATTAAGTTTACCTCTATCTAATATGAATCCTGTATTGCTTTGTGCTACCTCATACCCCATTTCAGCCAAGAAAGAATATAAAACAAACGACTCTTCAAATTGATTTTCCTTATATGAATTGTAAGCGTGCATTAAATATCCACCCCATTTACCACGTTCAGCGACGTTTTTGAATAACTTAAAAAATAAAAATAAATTTTTAATGGTTTTCTATCATTAAATTAAATAATTTAAATTACTAAACAATAGTAAGTATACCTCTAAAGCAGTTGTACAGGAACGCAGCACACCAATACCAGATGCATGCATTTGTGCCATATTGAAGTAAGCCAACAAATTACCAGACTTAGATGCCAAGCCAAAATTTTTAACTGCCAATTTATAATCTCGTTTTACGCCTAATCCCTCTGTAATTAAATAAAAATTTCAAAAGTTTTTAAACAATAATTATATTGTGTAGTAAACTTACTGTAATAGATGATTCCCACATATAAATGTCCTTCAACCCAACCTTGTTCAGCAGCCAGGGTGAACCAATTTAAAGCTTCTGAGTAATCCTGAGCTACATTGAGACCATGCAAATACATATAACCAAGACCACTCTGACCAACTGGATTTTTCAATTTTGCAGCTTTATAAAAATATTCATGAGCTTTTTCATAATCTGGTTTAACATCATCTCGCTCTTCCAAAAATATCTATAAACAAATACTCTTATTAGTATATTTATTACAAACTTAAATATTGTAAACAATATTTTTACCTTCCCAAGAAAACCATATGCAAGACCATTACCATTCTCGGCTGCTCTTTGAAAATAATAATATGCAGTTTGTATATCGATTGGTACACCTCTACCACCTTGTAAATATAACTGGCCTAATCCAACCTGTTAAAATCACAATATTAATGTTATAATGCATATCTAGGTATCTATATAATATTATTATTATTTAGTTATAATATCATACTTGTGCTTGAGCATCTCCTTTATTAGCCAACATTTTATAATAGTCTAACAAATCAGAATCTACAATTCCACTATTATAATTTGGATTGTCCATTTCCTCCATTAACTTTATACGTTGCACGAGCGGTCCACCAGATAAAGATAACTCGTTTGCCACTAAAAGTTAAAATTAAAACCTATTATTTAGAATACAATAAAAATAAATAAGCATGCAGTGAGTTCTCAATTACCATTGTTTGCAACTGCTCGATAGTATTCCAATGACTTTTCACAACTGTATGCCACAGTAGCTCCAGCGAAATATCGGTATCCCAATGCTAATTGGGCCAATACATTACCGCCTACTGCAGCCATAACATAATGTACAAGCGCTTTTGGCTGACTCACAGGAAGGTGTAATCCAACCGCATACAAGAAACCCATACCCTAAAATTAATAAGAATAGTATTACTAGGTACATTATAGTCAAAATTTCAAACTGATAATTACCAAATGAGCATCTGGATTTCCTTTTTTTGATAATTCATTGAATATTTCATATGCTTTGGGTATATCTTGAGTGTATTTCAAGCCAAATAAGAGAGCGAAAGCAAATTTTGCTTTTGCTTCTTCGTGGTCTAAAGTTTGAGCTCTGTAGAAGTATTCATAAGCATCTAAATGATCACCAAGGGTTGATTTCAATTTTTTCAAACCAGCCTGATATAATTGTTCCGCTAAACATATAGTATGTTGATAATTAAGATTACAAATCAAATAAATATTAAATAACCTACCTTCTTCTTCTCTAGACGAACTCGGAAGACCTCTAACTGGTTCCTTCCAATCCGTTACATCAATGTCGTCATCATTATCATCATCATTTTTCATATTTTGTATACTTATGTCATCATTTGACATATCTGCCCAGTAGTTAAACAAACCAACAGTAGGAAATTTAACTAGCTGTAAATTATCAGTGGCGTCTAAATCTTCTGTTTTTAATTGTTCTTGAGACTGATCAGAAGATTTTTCCTAAAATGATTTACACATTTAAAATAACGAATGCATAATAACAGAATTTAATTGCATCATTACCTTTGATAAATCAGGAGCATCAACAATTTTCATGGCAGCATTATTGATGAGCTGCAGCATACGGTTGGTAGCATCATCGTGTTCATCTACATCGTTGGTCCTTAGATCATAACTGTCATCCTCATCGTCTTTAGAATTGCTCTCCTCTCCGCCAACAACGGAGGCAATCACCAATACGAGAACGAACCATTGTAACAATCGTTCCTTCATTGATGGATCTAGCAACAATACACTGACAGGCACATCAATAGTGATTTACTGAATATGTACATAGGTACGCCTATTAATTTCAGATGCTTACCATTTATGTCAAATAAATGCACAAACGACCAAATCTCAGACTGTTGCGCCGAAACTACAGGGTGTGAATGAAGCAGACCAGACTAAATAGTAAATAATAATAATACTTGAATGTCGAGAACTGGGTATGATAAAAAAATTGAATTCAAATTCATTACATCACCAATTACCAAATGATAAATGCATAAAATTATTCATAAATCATAATATTATCTGTATCATTGATAACAAACTATTGTCTATTATCATTTTAGTACGATGGCGATCCCCTAGATGGGGAAAATGATTATAGAGATATTGGTACAAAGAGTGAGTTGATGATGTCCAGGATTTCCACCCAGCCTAAATCATTTGGTACAAATAGTGTCCTGAATGACGACCAGACGTAGTAACGAAATCGCAAAGGTACTTTGTATGCGACACAATTAATTCGAAAAAAACGAAACCCATTGTTCCATTTCAATGCCTGTTGACTATAGCGTATAGCCATTTGCCCTACGTGGACGGGCGCTATAGGATTTGATAACGACGGTGTTATTTTCGAATAATTGAAAATTGTCACCATATCAACTGCCGCAGTGTGACCGCGAACCCAATTTCCCTATAAAACAGTGAGGTACGATTTGAAAATTTTTAAAAGAAATCGCCGGAACAACCGTTATTTAAAATCTCTGGAAATCACTTAACTCTTTTCGCCTGTTTACCACCATAGTCCACAGATTAAACATAGATACATATTACACGTATGTTTAATCTATGCTACTACCAGGACTACCTAGGCACAATAGCCACATAGGTAACCAACGCATTTTAGAGGGAGTTCAAAATTTTAACTCTATACCGGTCACAGGCATATAACAAAATGTTTAAATAGGTATGTACCAATTTTTGACTATAGATGGGGTCTCTGCCCTTTGGAATTTTGATAGAACTCAATATATTCCTATAATATGTTTTGAATTCTAAAATAATGGTATAATATAATAGGTACAGGGGATCAATCCCCCCCCACCATAGGCTGTATATAATATGCAAAATTATAGAAACTTAAGGCCTCTAGCTTCAAAAGCGGTACTACTGGAACAATCATACCCCCCCCCCCCATGACAAAAACCTAAATACGCCACTGATATAAAATGTAACCAATAGCAACCTTTTAGATAAACAAACGAATATTCTTTTTTTCGAGAGCTTAAAAATAATTCATGTGTGAGCTACATTTAAATATCAATATAGGGCTTGGAAAAATAAACTGTTAACACCCTCCAAAGCCAAAGGAATCTACATTGATATAACTTGTATTATGTACGTTTCAATAAGTTTTTGGGTATATTATAACTATTCGGTCTTCGGATAAGCCAACAACCATTTTTAGCAGTGTGACTTCGCCATTGATAAAATGAAAAAATATAGGGCTTTAAAATTAGCTAAAAATTATATATTGCTGTATATAGTATATGATTTTAGTGTACCTACATTAGTTCACAGGCAAATCGGCGTCGGTAATATACCTAGCTTTGTAAAATAATTCAACCGAGATGGACAATTCACCTGTGGCAGATTCGATTTAGCAGTTGATATAAATCAAGTTTGAAAATTCTAAATTTGAAAATTCAACAATTTGAAATTTTAATAAAATCTGTCAACTAGTTTAGGAGTATATAATAGCTATACACATACATTTGACTCTCATATTAATTGTTTTAAGATATAATTTCTTTATTCGAGGCCATAGAGGGACGATTTGATTCATGCAACAAGTTGAAATTAAAAATACTCGTTCTGCAAAAATCGATTTTTATTTTTCATACATAGTACTTCTCAGTTCTCAGGGTAATTTTCTGCTAAGGAGTATATACATTTTCAAAAGTATATATAGTTTGCAGTTTTTCCAATGGGAGGATTCTTCACAGCATGATTAATCCTTTTTCTACTTTTTTTTTTATCTTTGTCAACACATTCGCTTATTGTTTTCACTTTATGTTAACAGACTGTGGAATAGAAAAATGTCAAATTAAAAAGTAATGTATGCTGGCATTGAAAAAAAAAGAAAACTTAAAAGCTTATAACGATAGAAAATAGTAGGAGTATAATTTATATCAAAAACATAGTTTTACAATTGTTGAATGACTTCAAATTATGGTGGTAAATGAAATATTTCTTAAAACATTAAATACTTTTCAAGATAATGAGTGTTCGATGTTAATATAGCATCTTATTATCTTAATACCTACTTAGTGGCTACTGGCTAGTGCCTATATATGGCTATAGCCTATAGGGTTAAAAATTAAAATATTCAACCTGTTGGGCTGTTTACACTTATATAGACTTAATATAGGTAGTAGGTAGGTATATGAGTTTACACCCGTTATCAACATATGCTGTTGAATAATTTAGTATGATCGCGGTGCAAATATCGATTCAATAATATTGTTATACCTACGCGTATCTTGTAAAGTTGTATCTATATTTGAGTGCATGCGTTCTTACGTCGACGATTGTTGCGAGTTTCAAATTCACTGCACCGTTGTGCATTAATGGCTTAATGTGATACTTATATAATAGTTTATAAGTACTTATAAGTTCTCAAATTAATTGGGAACAAGTTTTCAGCAAAAACCCATTCAACGTATACTTTGCCCGAAGTTAATAACAACAACAATAATAACAACAAATCATGAAAAACCAAACAATTAAAATAGATTTCACTGCCATGCTGTACATCGGGATTATGTACACAGGTCTGGTGATTTCCGGATGGTTACTTATGCGTCTAACGATCGCTTGCTTCAAATTGCCATCCATATTGAACGCTGCTGCTACTGCAGCAGAACTCAAGGAACGGACGTTGACTACAGGTAATTATATGCGATTGGTGTGACGTGCGAATATACAATATACATAATATTATAATAAATACATATATATTATATCGGGGGATGCAGTGGCCGAATGGACTAAGGCGTCGGCTGCGATGCTGCGAGTTAGTTAGATTCCTTGGCCACGGGCGGCATTTTTCTTCGGACAAGTCACGGTGTCCGGAGAACAAGTGCCGCCATTCCCCACCCGGGCATGGCAGCTCCCTACGGGTGCCCAATCAAAAATTGTGCCAAACACAACACACACGTGTAAAATCCCTACCATTACAAACCCTCTACTACCTACAATCATATAAAACCCCCACAATCAGCTAATGGCCATAGTCGTGGGGCTTGAATTTTTATAAAATACAATAGGTACTTGATAACAAATATACATAATAAATAAATAAAATAAATTATAAAAAAATACAAAAATAAGCGTAATTGTAACCGCGAGTCGCGAACCATCAAAAAAATTTCGCGACCCATGGTTTGGGAAACGCTGCTATAGGGCGATTGTAAACTTGGCCAGGATACCGGTTAGATAAAAAGGTAATGAAAAGGTCTAATGTAAACTCTGCCAGTTTTATTTTCTTACCTGCCCATCCTATATACCAGGCCGGTAGTATAACTTTTTTTTAGTTGGCTCCTTGGCGAGCCTTTTACAAGTTAATCCAAATACTGGTAAATTAAAAAAATTAAAAAAAAATTCAGTTTTTTTTAAAAAAAAAATTACTTAAAACTACCACGTTAAAATTGTAGTGATTACAATATTATATTCTTATAGTAAATTTTACGGTCTTTAATTTTGGTCCTATACTTTTTTGTCGTGAGTTCAATGGTTAACGAGTTATAAGAAAAATAGTGAGAGGGTAGATTTCACCCCTTTTTGGGGGGGTGGAGAGATACGCACAGGGGTTAGGCGTCAGGACTTTTAGTATGTCAATTGGGAAGGTATATTTTAAGTGTGTACCAAAATTCAGTTGGGGGCGAATTTTTTCCGATCTTTTTCCTAATTTGACTGGACTATGGGGCTGCCAATAGATAAAAAAAATATTTCGAGGAAGAATTATTGTTGTTATTATTATTAGTCGATGATATGACCGGCTGCCACGTCCCATGGCCTTATTATTGTTTTTTTCGACCACACAAATTTACACTTTAAAAATATTAAATATACTAGGTAACTAGCTTCTAAGAGTTGCCAAAAGAAAGGTCACAGCCAACTGGTTGGACCAACCTGATAATATAAGCTATAGGTATAATATTATATACTATAGGCATGGTCTTAGAATATAGGTATATACTTAGTCATAATATCTGTGATAGCCAATACAGGTCTATTATCAGTAGCGGATGATTTTCAGATTCGTCTTGTAGATGGGGGCAATATACTTTTGGTCTAAAAATTCTAATTTTAACTATTTACCCACTTAGATCTATACAGAGGGAAAAACAAGTATCCAATAGTAAAATTTGTAGGCCGTGATTATAATTTATAAACACTCTTAAGTTTGAACTTCTATACAGATTTCTGAAAGAAATTATTATTTATAGGTACCTAGTTTATGATGTCTGGGGGGGGGGGGGTGAGAGCATGGCCCCTATGGTATCATTGGCATTTAGCTTAACCTACTCATAAAAGGACACAAAGTGATTATTTAAACATGCTCACTCCTATTTTCTCCTTTAATAGGTAGTAAGTACATTTATTAAAATTCTGATTTTTAGAATTTTAAAGTACCTATAACTAGGTACTTAAAGACCATTTCAAATTCCTGATATTTTATGTACTACTTAAGGTCTCAGTGGCGTAATTAGGAATTTGGTTTGGGGGGGGGGGGATATACGTTTTTAACAAACATGAATGGTCATTATCAATACTTTGATCAAAATGTTAGCAGTAAAAAAAAAGTTTTTAAATATCTGCTGAATAAATAAAAATAAAAAGGGGGGGTGGTTCCAATTTGAAAACAGAAGTTTGTATTGTCTCAGGATCATCCTTATAAGTCTATTAGGTATATTAGTATCATTGTCATTTGACGCTAC